TCCACCAACGGTTCTGCATACACCGACACTTTGTGGACTCGATACCACCGAGAGTGTGTATCCGAAATTACCGTGCCTCACACCCGAGGAAGAATTTAACCCTTGTTGCTAACCATGACACATTTATCCAATACAAACTCGTGCAACTCAGTTGAACCTTAGCCTAACCTTCTCGAGCCCACATATCAATCCACCAACGATGATGTTTGATCAAAAATATGCACACACACTCATACCCATATCAATTGCCCATGAAGGCAATGTCACCCGTGCATATGCGAATGAAATATGCAATTACATTTTCATATCATCAAGCAATCAAAATATATAATTGCAATTTATGTTACATGCACATCATATCTTAAAGCATACAATGAACATATCCAATTCCCACAAACATTTCCAATTCCTCAAATGTCAATTTTATCATTGAACATATAATAACAGTTCACAACACCACTAAGCATGTTATAGCATTTTGAATTCAAATAACATACTTAATTTTCCATGGGCATTTTATCAAACACCTACAAGGCAAAATGTAAACACATAGCATTCCTAAACAACACATTATCCATGAAATTCATATCAAGTAATTTCATCAAACCCAAATCATAAAAAAATTGGTTTTAACTGATTTTCATATGCATTTTTAATATTCTAACAACCCTAGCTATGTGTTACACATGAAAATGCATCTCTAACACCCTACCCATTTCATATTTCAAACCTAGGTTGGAAATAACCTAGTTAGGAAAGGAACCCTACCTCTTGTAGCATATACACGTGCATAAGAAGCCCCAAAGATCTCAACCAACTATCATGAAGAATTTCATCTTTGGACCAAAAACAAGCAAGAGGCGGAATACCACAAAGGGAAAGTGTACCTAATAAAAAAGCATTTTTGGTAATTGGCACATGTTTTGTTAAACCCCCCATAAGAACCATATTCTGACTTTTATCTGGAGAATATCCAACAAGAGTTTCCATTGAATGAATAACGGNGTGTTAATATTGGGGCCCTCCACAAATACACACACACACACACATATATATATATGAATTTCTCCGGGTATCCCAAGAGAATCATTATATCACTTTCAGTTGGGAAACTGCAATAATTCATGTATATTAAAATACGAGTGACAACCCGTATAGCTAAAATAGCTCCTAAAAATATTATTATTATTCTTACTAAAGAGATTAAATTCATTAGAGAAGGTATGACTATGAAAAAAGGAAAAAGTCGCCCGACAAGAAAAATTCCAGCTGCTACCAGTATCAGCATGTATAAAAGCCAAAATAGGAGTAGGTCCTTCCATGGCATCAACTAACCATACATGAAGGGGGAATTGTGCAGATTTAGCAACTGCACCGGCAAATAATGGAACGCCACACAAAGTAGAAGACATATCTTTTTTAATTATGTAATTTAAAATTAAAATAAAGAGAGAGAAAATAAAAGTAGTTATAAATTGATGAGATTATTTGATATTGGATAGTGGATTAATGTAGTGGTTGAGTTGTCTGATGCAGAGAAGATGATGTTTTTTAGGGGAAAAAAATTTAGGTTGAATTTTTTACCATTTGATCAAAGTAAATGAATATTAAATTAATCTTGACCGTTATTGTATTTTTATAAGTTGAGAATTCAACTTTTTAATTGTAATATTAAATAAATATAACATGAATTTTATGTCAAAAAAATTAGGATTTGGGAAAAATTCTTAATAGGTTTAACAACATACAACACTGATGGATGGTGGTTGGGCTTCTCTTTGATGGTTGCATTATTTGCACTCAAGTTTTTTCTCGCATTAGTTTAATAAATTGATTTTATGTTTAGCAGTTAGTTTCACCGTATCTCTTATCTCGATTTATAGAAAACATTCCTCGGGACCATTCATAGCCTCATTCATTCAAATCAAAGAAAGTATCAAGAAGGAATAGGAATGACACAATGACTTGGTTGGTGACTACTGAGAACAATCACTGCATCTTTTGAGCCTTCAGTTCCACTATATAAAATGGAGGGCTCTCCAAGATTAAGAGTATCAATAGAGTCATATACGTTGTGTTACCAATTTTAAATGGCCTATTTAGTTAATGGAGATAGACTATTTGTTACTAATTCAACTTGCTTATTAATTGTATAGCGTTGGATCGACATAGTTAGCCAGTAAACCAAAAACCTAGCCTTGTTACTGCCTTATTTCTCAATAAAACCTACCCCCTATAAGTTCAATGAAGCACCAATATTCTGCAATGATGCCTCAATGCTTAGCCAAGAAATTTAAAAATATAATAATTTTCTTATACACTGCCAGTTAGCTAGGTAATATTTTCATGTCAAAATTAAATTATTCTTGTTTGATATTTAACTTATTCCATTTATTATTAATAATTTCAAACAATTTTAATTTTGAGATCGTATTAAGCATTATTCAATTATACTCTTTTTATTTTTGTATTGTGTCGAAAAATCATCAGGCTGTCCATGACCGTATATTATAAATTTAGAGTAGTTTCTGAGAAACAACTGGTTAGTCATATCATCTATATATTTGAAAATGAAGCAAATAGCCTGTGTCCTTGTGCTTTCTCAGCACACACTAGACACTGTCAGCTCTCTCATCTAGTCATGTTCCTATCGTACATTACTGCCCAGAAATGTCCTTGTTGTTTCTATGGAGATTTAAGTAATGGGACAAAAATTTAGGTTGAGCCATTTCTCTCTTTGGTTGCCAGTGTGCGGAATTTAGGCATCTATGAGACAGCCAACCATGATTGACTCTCTCTCTCTCGCTCTCCCTCCCTCCTAAGTTGTTAGTCCTGAATTCCAAGCTTGGCATTACTTTTCTAGATTGGTATGAGAATCTTAGAGGAAATATTAGAATGAATAAGTTTGTCTTTTGGTGATAGTGACTAATGAGAAATATAGGTAGTTGGCAAAATCTATTACTAAACTCCATCTTGGCCCACATCATATTTTAAGAATGTATGTCTTTTACTTAAGGCTAGATATGAGTTTCAAAAACAAGCAAAAAAAAGATACAAGTTTCAATCTGGCCTATTCCCTTTCGTTTGATGTTATATCGGTTCTTAATCTACTATATTACAATAATTTTGGCATAATATCTCACATATAGGGATCCGCTCACCAAAAAATGCGAAATTCTCGCATAAGAACAGACATAGGTCTGTAATGCACCCTTCACTCAATAAGAAGTTCCTCATTTGTAAGATTTCATACTCAAATTTATCACTCTCAAATATCTTAATTATGCCATAGTTAGAAATTGGCATGCAATAATGACCATTGGCCAATAATTGGTCCATATTTTAAATCTTTCAGTTTGGGCCTGTATATATATATATATATATATATATATTGGGGGAAAGATGAGAGAAAAGGTGGACTTAAACTGTGGATTTTAAGAAGATAAAACTTTCACAAGACAAAGAGTATCATTGGTCCAAAATCAAATATATCGAGCCCAAACTGAACCAATCGAGAGGAGAAATAGAATAGCTGGATATTTTTGTATGAACTTTTAATATTTAAAGTATATCTTACCAAATTAAGTTAATTCATCTCACAAGCCAAATTCGAAAAAGTTTTTAACGGGGTCAATCTGTAGTTAAGTTTGAGAATTTTGATTCATTTAGCAATCTTATCCCCGTAAATTTTAAGGAAAGATGATTGAAACAAAGATATGAATTTGGTTTTTAATCGTCATTGTGGAAGGGATGCAAGTTTCCTGATGATTTCATTGAAATAGATGGAAGGAAATTGGTTTGCTCATGTGTAGGGCTAATAGTCTTAGGAGTTCGAGTCAAAGTTAAAAAACTTGTTTTCTTAATCGAATCTACAAAATTGTTCTAGTTCTGCTCGTTTAATAAACGAGTTGAATTTGAACAACCTTAAAATAAATTAAACTCGAGCCAAACACGAATATTTACACATAAATAAGTCATATTTGTCAAATTTGAGCTCAGCCTGTTAGGCTTGTTTTTTAAACGAGTCTAAAAAAATTATTTAAATTTAACTCATTTAGAAAACGAGTCAAAAACGAACTAAATTCGAGCTAAACTTAAATAGTTCAGTTTGATTAACTGTCCTACTTATGTGATGCTGGTATCACTTGTTGATGACTAAGAGATTTTATCTTCCAGAAGGCCCATAAAAATTGTGCTTTGCACTGTGGCCCATGTCCAATCTTGACTCTAGGTTTTACTAGGCTAGGGCCTAGAAAGCTCCCCTTGGACTTTTCGTTGGCCCAAGAGAAACCTCTAGGGCCCAAAAATGGGCCAGTGACAGAGTAATTGCTAATGAAACATAATGGGTAAGGGAAAGATTATCATTTTTTAATTCTTTTTATTTCGTAAATTAATATTGTATCATTAGTTTTAAAGTTAAGTTGTTTCATTAGTACAAAAACAATATGTACCAATTACAAAATCAAAGTAATATAATTTGAATATAGCACACTACCAAAAGTATATGCATTGGCAAAAACTAAACACCAGGCCACCAAAAATAGAGAGAGAAATAGATAATCTCAAAGGATAGTTCAAATGATAACAGAGACAATTTACAAAATGATATAAATTTGAATCTTGACAATTTTTCGAGATCAAGTCATGAGTGATCTATTTGTCACAGATATCATATTCTCGGCGGTGATAGCCTATCTTTGACCGGATCAAAAAAAGACTTAATTAAGATGTGCGTAAATTAACCAAAACACCGCTAATCGTTGACTAAAAAAAAAGAGAAAGAGAGCGAGAAGTAGACCATCCATCCCCACATTTTATGTAGGTGTTGTCGAGGTCTCTACATTTGCGGTTCTACAGCCAATTTTTTTGTGGTCTCCCATCTTTCTCTCCAATCCTCTCCATTATATATCTATCCAATAACTTTGTCCTCTCCAATACATCCAAGTTCTGCAAAGCTTTTGTTTTTCTCTCCGTTTTTTCTCTCCAAAACTCGTCGCAAAGGGAAAGGTAGGTGACGACACAAAAGCTAGGAGAGAAGAAAATGGAGGTCACAACAAGAGCTTCAATTGGATTGTTAGCCATTGTTGCTCTCATATTTGCCATGGCTTTCCCTTCAACTACCATGGCTCAATCCATGGCTCCGGCTGCTGCCCCCACCAGCAACGGTACTGGTACTCTCTCTCTCTCTCTCTCTCTCTTGATTTGGGATCTTCGCAGTATCAATTAATTTGGTATCAGAGACCCTTTCATTCTACGTTCCATGCTTGTGAAAGATGATTGTAATGAATGTATGGTTTTTTTTTTTTCCTTGGCAGGGACAACAATAGACCAAGTGATGGCATATGCGTTAATGCTGCTGGCTTTGGCGTTGACATACCTCATTCATTAACTTCAGACATTCTTCCGTATCATCACCCCCTACAAAAAGAAAGAAAAAAGAACACTTCAGAATTTCATTAACAAGATGATAGAGCACTGCAAATTAAGGAAGAGGGTTGTTTGTAAAGGTAAATTCGTTCTTAGATGATATCTCTTGTGTACAAGTGCTTTTAATTTGCAAATCCTGAGTTTTCTTACCTTTTTTTTTTTTGGACATTCAACTTCGTAGATAAAGAAATGTATTGATGGAATTGGCTGAAAATGCCATATTCTACCACTCTTTCACAATAAATATTGAGCGTAACGATTATATTACGTCAACATTGTCTTGTAATTTAATCTTTTAATAATAATCACCGGTTGGATTGAATCAGGCTTGGACTCATGTCATATTTCGAAAGCATCAAATGGCCNCAACATTGTCTTGTAATTTAATCTTTTAATAATAATCACCGGTTGGATTGAATCAGGCTTGGACTCATGTCATATTTCGAAAGCATCAAATGGCCAACGTGGGATCCACCATTTTTTATGTTAGTTGACTATAATTCCCATTCTCCATCTACGTACCACCCTGTTTCACGAGTAAATATTAGGTGTAATGGTGACACCATCCTATAATAAACTTATAAATAGATAACGTAAATTTCACTTTGATAATTATTAAACGATATAACAAAGTGGTTATTATAATATGTGAGATTAACCTCCTTATTTGTTATACTTTTATTAAATGGTGACATTACGTATTAATAATGATGTGGTGCCACCGTTATATCCAATATCAGGTCCTTAAGTTCACAATTCAAATAGGGCTTGGACAAATAGCTCACTTAGTATTGGGCCCAATTACCCCAATCCAAAACCGGTAGTGCTTCTATTAGGATTTCATTCTCGAGGCCCAACTTGAATTCAAAACGCTACTAGACTTTTTGCCCAAAATAAAACCTAAATTGAACCCTGTTTTCAACGTGAATTCTCAATCGAATGGTATAATCCATATTCTTCTAAAAATTAATTATGGGCAACATCCAAGTTAAAGGGTTCGNACCCTGTTTTCAACGTGAATTCTCAATCGAATGGTATAATCCATATTCTTCTAAAAATTAATTATGGGCAACATCCAAGTTAAAGGGTTCGGGTTGAATTCGTGTTCAAATTAAATTCGAGTTAAAGAGTCAATAACTCGTGTTGAAGTCATATTAACCTCTTAACCTACGCAATTTGTACGATGTGTATGCCTAATAAAAATTACTCGTTAAAAATTTGTTTTTTTTTTGTCTTTCTAACTACAAATGAAGAACGATAATCAAAATGTTTCGTGGGAAGTTTCTAATAAACTCCGCACAAAATTTCAAAAAATAATCCATTGTTCGAGCATAAAATTTCACAAAATTCCCAATTGTGCAACTTGAGATCTCTATTTTGTTGTCAATGGGTAGAGTTTGAAAACAATTCACTTTTTTGAATCATAATGGAAGCAGAGACAGGGGAAAAACCATAAGGGCAAATTACATTTTGTACACAAAATTTTTAAAAAAATTTATTTTGTATTCTTAAATATTAAATTTTTTATGTTGTACCCTCAATGTATTAAAAATATTATAATATAATTTTCCACAATCGAAAACTAACTGCTTTTTTTATTGTCTTCCCAGAGTAATGTTATTAAAAGATACATTAAGGGTACAATGTAAAAAATTTAATCATTGAGGTTATAAAATAGAAAACTTGAAATCTTTCAGGGTATAAAGTGCAAAGAATGAAAACCATAATTATAGCAGTGGAAGGGGGAGAGAGAGGTGATGACCAACATCTCTTGCTTCTAAGTGAAGCCTGTACCAGAGTTCTCATTGAATAGGTTGATTTTTTCTGTTACTTATTGGATTCATCAACCTTCTTTAATTTGCACACATCAAAAACCGAGCTGTGGTGTTTGTTCTCTTTCTATTCACAAATACCAACACCATAATCAAACCTTCAAAGCCCTGTCTGTGGGTGATGGCCCTTCTTTTCACAATAGATCTTGCATATTATTGTATTGTTGTTTTGGGATTAATTAGGGAAACATAGGGATTCATTTATGGTTCTTCCATTCATTTTTCTTTAGCTGAAACAATAGTTTCCTTTTACTCTTCCTCATTTCAAAATATATAGGCTGCTCTTTTGTTTTTTTTTTCCTCTTGCTCAAGGTCCCTCACCTATACACGATGGATGATCAACCACCAAGATCTTAACCCTTTTTTCTCAACAAACTAATAAACTCTTCTTTTGAATATGAAAGATACGAGTTCTAATTTATTGCGTTGAGTCAATAGAAGAAATGTAGAACAAATCGCATTAAGTTTCATTAAACGACATGATCAATTCGCTGAAAGCGTAACAAAAAGTGATTAAGTAATTGTATAAACAAACAACAAATTCTAAAGAGAATCTGAACGACTCTATTCAATTGGAATCCTTTCAAAAATCAATAGCCATTGTTTTGCCATGGAGCAGCCATCAAACAATATATCAATAATATTTGAGAGTTTTCTCCTATTTCATTGAGCTAAGTAGAAGACCAAAGTGCCCAGAACCATAACAAAAAGTAGTAGCAAGTTAACAGTAGAAACAGAAAAACAAACAACAAATGTAAGTTATCACCACGTCAAAGATCGAGTAAAAGGGCGTACTCAGTACACGAGACTATTACCATTGCAGAATCCGGGAAAAATTAGATGTACGCAGTCTATCCACTGCAAGTAAAGAGACTGTTTCCACACGTCAAGGATGGAGTACTATGATTAATAAGCAGGTTTTTACTAATCGCTCAGATCAAGGGCATCTGGGGCTTGATGATTTAGGGGGGCAGAACATAGGTGATTAATGACTAAACTAAAAATATTAGAGCTGGATCTTGAACTTGATGCTCATTGACACTGTCTCCCAAACTGGTCTTAGCAAACTACCAACTAAAAGTAACAAAAACTCAAGTTGAACTACATTGTATGTGTGTGTGTGTGATACATTTGTCGAACTGCATTGTATTTCCTTCCTTGTCTTGTGGTTTTATGGTTCACTTGGCTCAATGAGGGGCCACTGTGACACTGTCCCAGAGGAATACTCAGGACTTTGAATTTGACTTTGCTACCTCTGTGCATATACCTATCATTTTCCCACCGAGCAATGCTATTAGGACCTAATTCATTATGANCCTCTGTGCATATACCTATCATTTTCCCACCGAGCAATGCTATTAGGACCTAATTCATTATGACCTTTGGATTAACTGTGAGCTCCATCAAACAATAAAATTTGGTGTTTATCCAATGGTTTCAATAAAGCCACATCATTAAGTCAACAAATTATGTCAATNACCTCTGTGCATATACCTATCATTTTCCCACCGAGCAATGCTATTAGGACCTAATTTATTGACCTAATTCATTATGACCTTTGGATTAACTGTGAGCTCCATCAAACAATAGAACTTGGTGTTTATCCAATGGTTTCAATAAAGCCACATCATTAGGTCAACAAATTATGTCAGTTTTTTAAGTCCAAATAGCATTTTCCTTCTCTACCAAGCTCTACTAGGAAACCTGCCCTCGGGGAAGCACTTACACCCTCTCTAAGGAGCCCTTTCGTGCTCGTTAGCGCTTGACTAATAATATAGGACTTTTCAGTTTGATTAGAATCAATTCTATGACTGAGTAGGGGCGGAGAAGGGGTACCATGGAGCCATCGCTGTAGTGTCCGATTAACGTTGGAGTTGGAGGCCCTACACTACTATGCCATGGTATTGTGGGGCAAAGAGGTTATTAATTTTAGGCATTAATATTAATTTAACATTACGTCCTGGGAAGATCTTAATAATNATGGTATTGTGGGGCAAAGAGGTTATTAATTTTAGGCATTAATATTAATTTAACATCGTCCTGGGAAGATCTTAATAGTTATTATTTAGAGGTCACAAGCTAAATTCTTATCCATTCAACCCTCTTGTGGATTTTTTTCCCTCTTTTCTATTAAAGATCCTCTAGAATTTACGTCATAGTTAGATGTCTCAAAAATGCTTGATTGCAATGATTTTTCCATGGTGAAAAATAAAAGAGCAATACTATAAGGACCTAATCAGGGATAATAATTTATTGCAGTCCTTAGATAAGTTGCGAGTTTCAAGGTTGAGTGGCATCCATTTTCAATCTAACATGTCCAGTTAATTAGGTTCTCAAATTAAATTTAGATAACATTTTTCAAAATTAAGAAAAAATTGGAGGTTAGAAAATTTGAACTCTTTTCCTACCTCTTCTTTCCTTTTCTTTGACTTTCTTTATTTTCTTTTTGTATCATTTCCTCGTGATATTCCTCAAATTAAGTTAAAATAACATTTTTTTTTAAATAAAAAAAGTGTAGAACTCGCCNAGTTAATTAGGTTCTCAAATTAAATTTAGATAACATTTTTCAAAATTAAGAAAAAAATGGAGGTTAGAAAATTTGAACTCTTTTCCTACCTCTTCTTTCCTTTTCTTTGACTTTCTTTATTTCTTTTGTATCATTTCCTCGTGATATTCTTCAAATTAAGTTAAAATAACATTTTTTTTTAAAATAAAAAAAGTGTAGAACTCGTCAAGTTGTGATATTGTGGTGATAGTGATAGTCATGGGGGCATGGGTGGCAATAATCTAAAATGCAGTTGCAAAAAAATAAAAACCAAATGATTTATTATAAATAGTGTTCATTTAAAATAAGGAAGTAAAAACGAATCATTTACACAAAATTAAGAAAAAGGAAAGAAAATAAAATGGTGACAAATTTAAAGGACCAACTTAATCTAAATTGATTATATTTCCTTGTTTAGGTGAAATTTGTTTTGAAAAAATTGAGGGAATCGACAAAGAGTTGCTTGCACTATTTATATAAGGTAATTTGCTCACATGACTTCAATAATATATGAAAAAATGAAATGACAATCTTACCAAATTAATGATATTACAAGTGACAAGGTCAACAAAACAATTCTCTCAAAGTGTTAAATACCTATATTGCTCTTCTTTTTTGCATTTCCATCGCTTGCGCTCTTATTCGTGTCTATTCAGATCAAGTAAGAATAATAAAACTTGATAGGTCTCAAAGCTATTAAGCTAACGGGTAGCCTTTAAAAATGGCTATTGTAATATTTAAACATGTAAATGAGATTGATAATCGAGTTTATCTTTGCGAGTTCGAAACGAATTTGTTGAACTCGCCTTTTTAAAATGAGACTAAAATATTGTTTAAATTCGTATCGTTTAGAAAATAAGTCGAATCCGAACGGCTCATCTATTCTATATATAAATGAGTTGAACTTTGCAAATTTGAATTGAATTTTTTTAAGCNCAAAACAATT